TTTCCTTCAGTCTGCTGGAACATGTCATCTGGTCTTAACGTTGATCCTTCTGATCACCAGCAGTGCCAACATCATGTACAGTCCTCTCAACATGTACTTTTTCTCCTCATTCTGTCTCAATCTTCTTCATTTTGGAGTCGCTGCGTCTCTCACTGCCTTCTCGTCTGCTTGGTCAGTCGCTAAACTTCAGTTGTTTGGCCCATTTGTCTGTTTCAATCTGGATATTCTGCAGGACCTTACCAGTCATTTTCTATCCCATAGCTGTCAATAAATGACTCAGATGCTCCAAATCTTTCTGACAGTACTCTTTTACTGCAACGTTTGTGTTTTTTTCTGTTTTTGCTGTGTAGTGTAAAAGAGCATTTCTGTAGTTTTCTTCTAAGGAAGATGTGCCAAACTCCAGCTTCTTTCCTGCAGCTTCTGTCCCAGACACCTGAATCTAATGAATTGTACGTTATCAGACCCTGCAGAGCTCTGGTGCTATGAATGTGCAACTTGTACAATTATCTTTATCTTTCCTCTTTTGGGTTTTCTCTGGACATTTTGGCGAACTTGTGTTACGTCTCACTAGTTTTTTTTTTTTTAACTTCAGTTATATGTTTTCCAGCTTTGGTTGTAGAGATAGTAGAATCACCCTTCTATAAGCTACACCTGATGGGCCTTAAGGAAACTTTTGTTATTGTCTTTAAATAGTCCTCCAGAGTTGTCTTTCACACAACCTCTGTGTTCTTTGGATTTTCAAGTATAGGAAGTATTTATTTGTTCACAACAATGTAGTTTACAATGATTTCCATCACTGCTTGGTTGGGAGGAAGAAAGATCTTTTTCATAACTACTAAAATCTGACAGTGATGCATAAATACACAAACGTTGCTTAATAATAAAAAATCAGATACAAGATGGAAAGTCAGACATTTCCATGTCTGAGAAAATAGATTTTCAAGTTTCTTAATACTGAAACATAACATAATGAAAAACTACAGATGTCTCAACCTAATTCCAAGTATCAACTCGGGATCTTGATATACAGTATAGTCGACATCACTGTACATTTTGGGATTTTTGTGGAACATATTCCAGACTGAAAATTAGACCAGCTTATCTTCTTGGGTTGGGGGTAAAAGACCTGTCTTTATCCCTCAATTCACCTTCTTCCACTTATCAGAGGGTGTGAGCGCAAAAAAGGAAAAGAAAACCCAGATTCCCCTCTACCTTGCTCATTTTGAGGGATCAGAAGATGTCCCCAGGCCAGAGGGGACACATAAACCCTCCAGCATAATCTCCGTATGCCCTGCAGCCTCTTCCCAGTGAGCTACATTCGATTTCCACCAACTTAATTGGCCATTTACAATTTGCACACTCAGAAAAATGCAATGAGATCAGCTAGCTAAACCTGAACTCACTGTGATGAAGCAACACAGGTTAGACGAACCTCTCAAGAGGAGAGTGAAGCTCCCAAACACCAATGAGGCAAAACCAATTAAAGAACAGATGGATGTATTGCTCTTAATGACCAGCTGTGGTAAAGATTGTGGGATTTTATTCTGCTTCCAGGGCAATGGTGCATTTTAGCCTCTACACAGCTTTGAGAAAACAAAAGTTGATATCGCTTCATGTTAACTGATGTGACTGGATTTGGCTTTAGTGGAGACATGCAGAGTTCAATAGATTGCCAGATGTCACCGCTAAGTAGATTCATGACAATGTGGGAGGATTCTTCATTGATCAAATACTTGCTGTGCTGCAAGCCCAGGTATTTTATAGGGTGTTAAACACAAGTAAAAATAACAAAGAACATGCCATTTGACATGAGGATGCTAGAAATATGCTGAAAGACATGGAGTATGGGATATAAGCAGAGGTTCACAATACAACCTCTTACAAAAAGGTATGAATTATTTACATTGCTGTACTTATGATGTGTGAAAGTCTGATGTAAAAATGCAGGTTTGCCATTAAGACTCAGTAATGGCAAATGACTTAAACACGTTTGATTGCTTTAGGGCAAAGGTTCCTACATTTTTTGCAAATTCCAACTATAAAAAAATGAGGAAGAGACTTGTGGCCATGATTGCTGACAGCTTTGGCTAAGTTATACTAAACAGTGACAAGAAAACGGCATCAAAATATTAATATAACATTGCGTTTATTCATTTAAAAAAACAATTTTACCTCCTCAAAAACATTTTAACATAAATAAAATTTGTGACGCATCAGTGCAAAACCAGGATCAATTGGCCAGGACAGAAATAGAAAGGAAGATAAATTTATGAAAAAAAATGTGTTTAGAAATTTGTTTTTAGAATATCAGAAGAAGTCATAAGGAAATCACTCTTGATTTGAGCATTTAAAATGGTAAACTTTGTGTTTTTTTTTAAATCAACTTGCTTCATTTGAGCCATTTCGAAGGGTTGGGGAACGTCACAGCTGATCAACACACCAGATGGCAAAAAGAAAAAAAAAGAAAAGTAAAAAAAGACTCTGACTCAGGTCTGTTTATGGGTCTGTGAAAATGCTCACCTAAATCTGGCCCAGATAACTTACTGACAAGGTAAATACTATGACAGAAGAAAAGAAAATCTTCCACACCTTAATGCAACCACAAACTTTCTCCAGGACACAAAGCTAGATACTTTACAAGCCAAAAAAGAGTGGCAGGACATGAGAGATGTCATGTTTGTCATGACAAATCCTCACAAGGCAGAATCTTATAGAAAACATAGAACAAAAGAATAAATAAATAAAACTAAAAAAAACTATAAATATAACTAAATAAGACAGACAATAGTCAAGCTTTGCCACTCATACTTTGACTGTTGTTGACAGTCGGTGCTAGGGGTCCGGGTTGTTGCACAGTAATGTACCGTAAATGAACAGTGTTTGCTAACGCTGAAGAGAATCACACAAATCCAGACTTGTTATTCTGCCTCTCCATGTGTCGGTCCGGCTTTGTCAATCACTGACTCCAGATGAGGACATATACAAAAAAAAAAACAGAATGATGTTACTGCTGCAGCAAATTTTAATCTCTGAAATGGAAAATTCACACGTATGTTTGGCTTTATGGCAAATTTGTCTTCTACTCAGTCTGATATTGTGAAATTTAGAGGTTTAGAGGTTATTCAGTTCAAGAAGGAATAAAAGTGCTACAAATTCTGATGATTAGCATGATGATTAGCATGTGCAACCAATTAAACAGAAATGACTGAGTTGTCAATCAGTCACAGCCTGTATGTGTACTTGAGCTCTAGGTGGAGGATTAATTAGGCTAAATAATTGTCAACACCTGTGGTGTTCATGACTGAAGGCTACAGGGTAATAATAGTTGCACTCTGTTTTCTTTTTCAGTCGTCAGCAAAAATGTAAAACAGCTCCCAGGCATCTTTGAATGTGACTCCAGTAGCACACCAGTCATTGCAACGGCAATGAGTCCCATTTGGTTTTTACTGCAACATGAGCCAGAATTTTGGAGCTTAATGAATAATGTCCATAAAAATAATCAAATATTAATCAAACATGTGAGTTTTCCAATGTGGTCTTCAGCATAAAGAAAATCAACTTACTGTAAATGTTTTATCTGGTAATATCCTTCCTGACTGTCATTGAAATCCAGCTGAAGATGTTAGTGAGTTTATGTGGACTGTGTGTTTTGATTGAGTACCTCAACCTAGTAAATCTTAGAAACCTGTTGACTGCACTTGTTTTGTACCTCCATGTGATTAATACAACATAATCTGAGAAATGTTGCCTATTGTGTCTCTATTTAAAGTCAATATAAAATAGGGTAGTTGGTCTTATTTTGCTTTTTCTACCCAGAAAGAGTACTTGAATTAATAAGCCAGAATTTGTCATTTCAGAAATGCCAAGTATTTGTTTCTTGTTTTCCCTGGGTATAGCACATTTAAGCTGTCAAAGGTTAGTCAGATTTATGAAAGTAACTTTGGTGTGACCCAACCTGGTAGATTTGTCAGGATGCCTTGCTTTGCTGCAATAAAAAAGTCAGAGTGCAGAGGACATTTTGTGATAAAGGTACAGAACGATGTAGTCAAGAGAAACACATGGTGCTCAGTGTTTGAGAAAAAACAAACAAGGATAATGTGAGTTTCAAACTCAGAAAGTTTAGCTTAATAGCTAGTTGTGAGGCAGTGCTCTGAGTTTTAATCAACCTACAATACTTTTGTTTTTACTTCATTGTTGTCTTGAGATTTATTTCATTTTGTTTATTTTTTGTCAGGACATTATTAAACATCTGCACCAGACAGCAGAAGGATTATGTACATGCTTACAACAAATCTCACACTTTTTGCAGCCTGTGGTTCCACAGGATCTTTTTTCCCCACTTCAGCACATCCTCTCCAAAATGTCAGTACGTGCCACTGATTGGTACCAGTGTGAAGGTACTGCACCTACCTAAGTGGTAAAAGATTTTATGAGTTTATTGAAATAAAAACTAAGTTTTAAATAAAATCAACCAGGTTAAATTCTTACAGCAGTTTTATTAGTTACATTTTATTGTTTTATCAGCCTGGAAGCACCTTATTTGGTAAGGCACATGAGACGGACCTTTGAGACCTGCAGCGTCCCATGACGGCCACGCTGGAGAGGAGCAGCGTGTGGTTCCTTCTGAAACCTGCCTGATCCATCCAGTGAGATCTTTTGTCAGAGGGGAGAGGAATCAATTCCAGATCTCGTCTTGCCGCGGATCTTAACGCACGGCGTCTGTGTGCGACGCCGAGTGCAAATGCGCCAAAGTGCAAAGGTGCGAGGTCAAAGTTTGATTTTAATGTCCACGGTAATGGAAATTCTGAAATGGCACGAGAGGGGAGCAAAGAGTGATCGTGCACGATCCCTCAGTTTTGGCTCCTGATGCATGTGTAGCGCTGCTCGGCCGGGCTCTCTCTGCCGCTGCTCGCTATCTCTTTGCTCAGCTGTTATATGCTCGCTCACCGCGGCTCGAATATCACTTACCGGGTCCCGACCAATCCCTGCGCGCTATCAGAGCTGGAGAGGAGAGCAAGCTGGCAGGCAGACCGGGAGAGAGAAAGCGAGGAAGCACACACCCAGTCATCATCTAACCATCCAAACGCACATCCTCTTTCGACAGACACACCGACACACAGGCAGCTCCCCCCACTCCACCCGCTCCCCCTGACTGCAGCCGGGTTAGAGAAGGAGGCGCCGGGCAGGATGCGCGATGGGACAGGCGTGCGGACACGCGCTCCTCTGCCGTAGCCAACCTCCGTCCTCTGAAATGTAAGTAAGACCTTCTTGTAACTCCGCTTACCTGCTCAGGTATTTTACATTCAGAAGGAGCGCTCTGCTGACAGTCACGCGGCGTGCAGCCACCAGCCGAACGCAGAGTTGCGTGTAGCGGCGCGAGTGAGTGCGACCTGCTGGGTGTCATCGTGTCCACTGACAGCGAGATTGACGACCCCGCGTGTTGCGAGCTGGTATGGAGGCTCTGCCAGTGTGCTCCGGTATAATGTGCTCCACAGATAATTCGGTGACCTTATCGCGCCTCTCAGTCTTCCCGGGAATCGTCACAGAGCCTGATGTTCCTGCAGGAGCGCGTCCATTTGTAACGATAAATCACTCTTAATTGAATTCTGCTTGTTTTAAAAACTTGCTTTCAAGGGCTGACTTTGAGCAAATGACGTTTGTGCCTCTAATTCAGCACTCTTCATAACTAATAGCAATGTACTTGTTTTAGGGTTCGAGGCTGTCATGTTGTTTTGGGTAAAGTTGGGAAAAACTGACTAGTTTGCTGTGTTAGACCAGACTGGGCTGCAAATGCTAAAATGCACAAACTTGTTATAGTCTTGAATCACCGCCTGACACATTTACAACAGACAATTGTTTCCCCTTTGAGCTGCACATATTTCTCTGTCATTTCAGTAAATGAAGTCATTGGTATTATGGAATTTTTTGTTTTAAAACTTTGAAACACTGACATTTGCCTCATTCACTCCTGTTCTTACCTCAGCCAGCTTTTAACTACGTTTCCTATCAGTTCAATGGAATTTTGTGTCTTTTTACTAAATTTATCCATCCATTTTCTAACACCCTTGTCTCTTGTGGGGTCGGAGTTGCTGGTGCTTCTCTCCAGCTAATATTCCGGGAGAGGCGGGATACACCCTGAACAGGTTGCCACTCTGTCACATTTACTTCATTTAATTCCTACAAATATATATTTTTAAATACCTGCAGTTAACTATTGCCCATAACTTTATTTTTCTCTGGGTTCACTTTTTCCATGAACTATTTTCATGTTCTTAAGTAGGATTTAAGAGTATACTATTTTGTAAAAATGCAATTGTTTACATTTATGGTGTGATTCACAATAAGGCCAGGCGAATCTTTTGAAATATGTAACATTATGAGCTAATATAATCTCTGACATAACCTAATTACCTCTGAGGGATCTGATATATTATTTATTCCAGTCATAAAGCCACATTTCTAGGCTGTGAGCGGACACTCTAAATCGCCTTTGCTTCAAGTGTAGAGGGCTCAAGAGCCTTGTTCTTGTTCACGAGTGATGGAAGGATGAAGAGGCTGGGAGATTGACAGATGGATTCTGGTGTGATCTGTAGGAATACAAGTGTTAATCCGGTCTGTCGTTTGAGGAAAGAGATAAAGAGAAGCTCTCGCTTTGCTGATTTGTCTTTTTTCTGTTTCTCACCTATAGCCATATGGACTGTGACCTAAAGAACAAGATACAGGACACAAACAGCTAAAATAAGACTCTTTCATAGGGTGGCTAGCTGCAGGCTCAGAGATAAATCACTGCCATCGGGGCGAGTCGGATTTTGATAATCATGGCTTACAGAAAATGGAAACCCAAGAATTCATTGTGTCAGAAAATTTAAATATCATCTCAGATCAATTTTGAAAAAATAAGTTTTAATGTATAATATGTGAGGGGGAAGAGTACTGATAGAAAGATGAGGGTGCCGCGGTCCTGAAGACAGACCTCGACTCTCTCCACCTGGAGGGAAAGCCACAAAAGGTCATTGTTGGTTGTTCACACAGTACTGTATCCAAGTATTTTCAGAAAAGGTTGAGTAGAATGAAAAAGAGTCTCCAGCAACATGGACAATAGCAGTCTTGAAAAGATTGTCAAATTAAATCAGTTAATGAAATTGGGGAAGCTTCATTAAGGAGTGGACTGAGGCCGGATTTAACTGATCAAGACGAAAACGCAAACAAATCCGCCCTCCTTATGTCTCTCCACTGCTAAACCAGAGACTGGACTGTTGCTCTGTGCTTCCAAAGTCATCTTCCCAGATGAGAGTGAAGTTTTTAGTTCATTTCATAGTCTTATAGTGCGTCTTTCACTGTGCGTTGATTTTAGTTCAAATCACGTTCCCAAATTCTGGAGACAGAGTGGAGAGACAAAGGGTCCATGCTGCTTGAAGTCCAGCGTAAAGTTTCTGCAGTTTGATGATTTGTGCGGTTTTCTCCCTCTCTCCTTCTGCGGCACTGAATCACTAAAGCGGGTTCAGCGCCACAGAATGAAGGACAATTAGCAATTCAGTTGATTCGGAGGAGGATAATGAGAGAGACGTGACCAAGGACAGATTGAGGAACAGGTCAGATTTTATAGTCTGTCCGGTAAAAAGGAATCAAAATGTTCGTGAAGGGGGAGCGTTTCATGCTGGGAGGAGGGCAGGTGTGCGTGACTGAGTTAGTGAATCCCGGTGGGGGTAACCAACACGTAAGCTGGCACGCAGAGAGAAAAACACAGACTGCATGCCAGAAAGATGATGGACTATCATGTGAATGAAGATGGCCTAAGGAGTTAACAATGAACACACTTTGGGATGTGTGTCAATTATACTAGTAATTGCAGAAGATAGTAAATTAAAACAGAAAATCTGTAAAAGTAAGGAACAAATAGAACAGCTAAAATAGTTATCATTAATACAATTAAAAATATTTCAAGAAAGGATTAGAGACACATCTTCACTAAACTCTTAACTGGGGAGGTTTTTATCAAAATGTGGAAAAGCTCAACATAGGGAATGATTACAAGGCTTATTTTAGTCAGTCAAACTTAAAACAAGCTTAATAATATGAGGTTGTAGTTAAAAATCATGCTATGCTAATTAAATATGCCGCTTCATATCCAACTTAATGTTATTTTATCTTGCAGCAGGGCTTAAAGTTATTATCACATAGTGTTAGTGAAGCATTGTTTTGCTGAAATAGATGATTTTTTCATTTTGTAGAGATGAGGAGCTCTTTATTTTACCTGGATATATGGTCCTGCTGTAATTGTGCATCGTTCAAACAAAATATTTCATGAAGCACTGATAAGCTATCTCTTTAACACGCACTTTCATTTCAAAATGTGAATTGTTACTCTGTGGCCATCTTTTTCCAGATAAAAATATCTGAGTAGTGAAAGAGCCCATCAATTTTTTAACATGGTCACTCTCATCCTTGTAGGCTGCTGTGTTTTATTTTAATTTTTGAAACAACACAACCTGCACATTCACCCTCCCAGTCTATTCTGTTGGTGTTTGTTTTCTTGAGTCCACAGTCAATCCAGCCATTTACCAGGAAATCATCATGCATCCTTATGCTGCTTCATTTTCCATCAGGACTTGGCACCTGCCCCACTGCCAAAGGTGCCAATACCTGGTTCAATGACCATGGTGTTCCTGTGCTTCATTGGCTAGCAGACTGACCTGACATGAACCCATAACGAGTCTATGGAGTATTGTGAAGACCAAGACGAGAAACACCAGACTCAAAAATGCAGATTACCTGATAGCTACTATCCATGGAATCTATAAGCTTCTATTACCCCTCCAAACCCCAGGCTTATTGCCTCCATGCAATAAAGCTCGTAGAAATTAACACACTTTTAAGAAGCCTGATATTTCTGTTTAAAACATCCTTTTTGTATTTATCTTACGTAATATTCCAATTTTTTAATACACAGAACTTTGGGTTTTCATTATCTGACATCATTCCAAGGCTGATTGAGCACATCTTAGTAATGTAATGCACCAGGAGAGCAGGCTGATGCTGTATCCTGACTCAGTCTACTCAATTTGTGCTGAGAACATATTAAAGTACCATCCTATAGTCTCTGTGGTAATCATTAACTGTTGTTTCCAAATTTCCCAGCATTGATTTGATGTTGTAAGGTAATGTTTGTCAGGAGGCCCCTTAGGGATCCTGTCTGTGGAAAAAAAAAAAAAAAAGAGTTGTTAAATGTCAGGTTCTTTTCTTCATTTTCATTTTAATGCTAGTAAATAAAGTAGACTACACTGCTTAGATTGATTGATAATTAAATGGATTTTCTGCTCTTGATTAAGCTGAGTGGTTATGAGATCAAACTTAAGGTCGGTCAAATAGTATGTGCATATTTTATATATGAGCTTTCCCTCAGGAACTATGAAACTTATTCCCTTTGTGTTTTTCCATTTTGGGCTGTTGCCATTTAAAAGCAACATGTTGAAATTTGTCTGTAGAAGTTGGGAAATCAATATATATGTGACTTTATTTCATTTTTCGTTAATGGGTTTTAAATTAAATCAAGAAAATCCCTGAGGAATAATGGCTTTTATTCACCAGTCCACACAGAAGACTAAGCTTCTTATGCTGAGCATTCATTGGCTTGTCCAGCTGAAAAATAACCAGAAACCAAAGAGAGTAATAAATCTGCCACATGGATGTCAGCGATCTCTGAAATACAATTCGATTCAGTAGCTGGTCTCACCTGCTTCCCTTATGCTAGAGCCGTTTTGATATAGCGGTGGTGATCAGTGAAGGCCATGAAATGAAGCGTGATTCCTGCACAAAATACAAACTAGCAGAAGCAATGCATGCAAACCCGTTCAATATGTACCTGATATGATTGAGCAATGAGAGCAGCCATGCAATTTTAACCTACAAAACTAAAAGCTTTTTTAAGCATTCTGGTGGTTTTAGTGTTTCAATTGACGCTTAAGATGCCATTCCCTCATTATTACAAATAGCCACAAAGCTCTACAATATCAGATATAGATATATGCAGGTTACCTTTTGTTTGCACAAACTTTTCAAACTTCCAACTGCGTGCAGACACAGCATCTGCCGTTTTATTTATAATCTTTGCCTAAACAAATCCTGTCTAAGGCTCTGTAGTTGGGTCATGGTGTTAGAAAAAAAAGAAAATTTGCAACTTCTGATTGATGCAAAGCAATCTGGGTACAGTTACCAACAACAACCAAATTCAAAATACTCTCTCCAATTGCAGT